ACCGGTCGAGGCAGAAGGCCGCCCACCAAGAGCCGGGGTCTGTCGGAGGTTTCTTCCGTTAAAGGGAGTTTTTCCTCCCCACTGTCGCCAAGTGCTTGCTCAAGGGGGATTTGTTGGGTTTTCCCTATGTAATAATATTGATAACAGTAAGGTCTAGACCTTACTTTGTAAAGTGTCCTGAGATTACTTTTGTTGTGATTTGGTGCTATACAAATAAAATTTGATTTGATTTGATTTGATAAAAGTTCTGAGATATTCTACTGCATTTACTTAAAACATTGTCTGCACACACACTTTTGGTAAATACAGCACACGCGGCCTTAGCTGTTCTCTAGAAACTTCCTTTTAAATGTACTAGTCCTTGAAATCAGCAACAAGGCTGTTGGACTTGAATGTGAATTTGCTTAAGTGTACAGTGGAACCCTGGACCCGGTTTGCGAGTGTTTTTGCAAGATGAGCAAAAAATTTTGATTCGATATACGAGCGAGGTCTCGCAATGGGAGTAGTACGTACGCTTTGTCTGCCGAGCGTCATGTGACGACCACCACAACTGAGCCGATTGTTCTCACGCTCATATAGTCAATATCTGTACTGCAACAATGAGCAATCACACCAGCCATGATTCTTTTCAAAGGTAAAGTGCAGGTTAATTTGTTTTATTTTTACTTTATATTTATATGGATAAGTGGGTGTGGAATGAATCATCTGAGTTTCCATTATTTGTTATGGGGAAATTCGCTTTGATATACAAGTGCTTTGGATTACGAACATGTTGCTGGAATGAATTATACTAGCAATCCAAGGTTCCACTGTGCTTTGGTGACACAAGGTAAATATTTTATATAAACTACTCAAATGTCTCCCTCATATGAAAACAACAGTGAGGTATTCTACCGTTTCACAGGTGAGACAGCGTGTCTCATTGGTCAGAGTGCCTTGGAAGATCTCGTGGACCCAGGTGGGAGCAGGTGTGGCATTGCTGTTGTTGTTCTGGGAGTCCAGCGTGCCGTTAGCAAGGCGGCCATTGGTCTTCTCCTGCTTCCTCTCCTCCTGAAGCAGATCAGCTATGGTGTTGAGAAGGTAGTTCAGGAACTCATGGGCATCCTGCTGCATGTAGTTGTCAAACAGCTCTGGCAGGGAAAACACAGACACAGGTTTTAGAGTTGCAGGTATTTGAAGCTCCTCTGGCTCTGCAGAGGTCAGGAGACAATGAGAAGAAACAAGACATTAAGAAATTGCTGAATTAGTTCTGGTCTCACCATTCTCCTTGCGTAACCGTGTAATGAACTTCTTGGGTGGTATGACGCCCACTTTCCTCTTCTGATTGGCAATACTGTGGAACAAGTCGGCAAGGCAGGTGAGCAGGTTCTCCTTTCGCCGTGGTTGACCGCGGTACGCCAAGATCTTCTCCCGGAATGGCCGGCAGAAGTACAGTGCCTGCAGCACCGAGTTACAGTAGCAAGTGTTCCCGAACTGAAATCCCATATGGCATGCAGCACAGTCAGTGTGAGTATAAATAAGCTGGAAACATATTCAAAACTCTGAATTTGCACAGTGGATCATTCACTTACATTGACAAGGCCAAAGTAGTGCTCATTGACCGGAAACTGCTCAGATCCAATCTCTTTCTCCAGAGCAGAGGCATTGGCGCCCTGTATGTGCACATTTATTATTATTTTTTAAACAAGACACAATTTAGGTTCAGCTATTATTTTAACAGGATCATGGCAAAAACACAATCAATACCTCTAAATCACCAAGCAGTTGCCAAATTAGATGGCAGCAGCCTGGTATTTTCAAGGTCATTTGATGCTGGGAAAAACAGAAAACTAATGAGTGTTTAAAAACTCCAAGACTTGGCATTTTCAAATACTACCTCCACTCTGCCCTGTAATGCCATTAGCACTAAAAGCATCCATCATTTTAACTGAGGAAAGCTGAGCTGTGCCTGGCCAGTGCTGACACTCATCCCAAAAAGCTTTTAAATGTAAAACTCGGCTGGGATGAAAAATTTGCATGTGTCAGCATAGAAAATATTAACAGATATTCTGTAAGTTGGTACATGGATAGGTAGATATTTAGGGAAATGCACACTCCACCAGTATGATTTAGTAAGGGTTAATAGGGTATGATGCGTTGTGTAGACAGCAACAACAAACTGCAGAGTGGACATGGACTTGGAACGGGTCCACAACTGCGCAACTCATGTTGAACCATGTCGTCATTGCCTTCTTTAATAATATCTGGTGGTTTGTCAAAGGCTAACACGCCACCTTTGCCTTCTCTCGCTGTCTCATATTGCAGATTAATCAACTCTCAGCTCGAAGTCATCCATTATCCAGCTGTGCTCCAGTTGTTGACATGGTGTAACACAGATTTAGCTTTGGCTACCTTCACCATACCTAGTTAGCTGTGAATAACAGTTGCAGCGGGTGCAGGGTATTGTAGTTAAAGAAATCGTGATATTATTTGATAAATAAGTAGACAAGGTATGAGTTAAAAATAGGTAGCTGTCAAATGTCCACGTAGTGCCGTTAGCAAACAGCACAGAGCAGAGAAGACAGTGGGTGGCTGCTCCCTTTGCTATGATCGGAAAACTGCTTTGCTAGCACGAAGACCAGAACTGACAGCTCGTATTTATAAATCCAGAGTTTAAAGGCCACAACAGTGCAGTCACATTTTCCGTATCACTCTGTAAGCTAACCGATACTAGTATGAGGCTATCGTACACTTACCATGGTACAAAAAGAGGCAAATTTGGAGACTGTCATTAGGATTTCCATTCGGCTAGCGCCATCTTCCACCACCCCGCTGCGCGCTGACAAGACTGGGCTAGCTCCCCTCGTGAGGGCAGGATTCTGCTGAGCTCGCGACACAAGCTCCAACAACTCGAGAAAATCGGAGCGTTCACTATATGATACTTCCGGCTTCGCTTAATCTGTAGCTATGTATCTATGTATGTCTCACTTTCGAATACGTCTGTCAATCTGAGAAAGACTTATCTGTTAAAGCCAACTCACTTTGTGTCAAAACCGTTAAAAGGTACCAGTATTTTATTATTATTGTTTTTTTTAAGAAAACAGGAGTTATCCACATTGTACGATTATCCAGATTGCCAATGCATTGCGCATGCGCATTACCAAAGGTTTAGGAGTTAATTTCGAGGAAGATGTGTTATAGATATAGATATGTATTCCCCCTTACCTTAATCAGAACCAAAACGTCACTCTAATCCTAGCCAGTTGTGTATCATATTTTTGGGGTTCCTCTGTAAACCCATAGGATGTGCCGCTGATCGCGTCTCACTTATTTTAGTTCAGGCAATATTGCCTGCCTAAACAAGGCCGAGTTTGGGGGCTTTTGATCTCTCTTTCTGCCATAGCCACCATCTTGTAGAGACGTTTGGTGAGGTACTGTCGGTTTTTAAATTGTATTTTCTCGTGTAATATCGGGTTATCAGTACATAGTTAACATCGCAAACATTCCTCTTCATCTCATTGGGTTAAAAACCCCACAAACACGCTCCAAACTGTGATAATTTCTGTTTAATTAGAGCAGGAGCCGCAGCATGGTTCTCCATGTGGGCCCGGCAAGCACGGATAATGTACGATTTATACGAACTGAAATTTCCTATGACACTCTTTTGCCGCGGTTGTTATGAAGTGTAGCCCCCTCTTTTGTGGTGGATATTAATTCAGTTTCTTAGTAAAAGAAATTTTTAAATGCAAATATGCCACTGACTTCCGTAGTGGAACATGCTTCGTGTGTGTGTTGCTAACGTGTATATCAACCTTAGCATCTTTGCTATATTTCGTTAGATCAAATTCGTCTGTAGGCTTTATCGTTACTAAGTTGAGTCAATTTTCTTTCAGTAATCAAGCACCATGACGAACACCAGAATTTAAAATGTAGCTTATAATAGCAGACATTTAAGTGCATTCTCCTTTTACATTGTAAATAAGACGTGGTGTTATACAGCCTAAAACACTCTCAAAGTTGTGCATAATAATATGTATTGATTGGGTGCATTTACTTCACAGGTCCGATTCCCCTGTCCACATACATGCGCATCTACAAGAAGGGAGACATAGTTGATATCAAGGTAAGATACAGCTCATGTGTCTGATTTCATGATCACCAAGTTAAAATACAGTCACAAGACAAAAGTAATTGCAATTTCCTCATTTTCTGCATAAATTGGTCATGAAATGCGATCCCATCTTCACCAAAGTCGCCTATCAACAAGCACAATTTCTAATATAATAAAACACAAACAGTAATGAGCTTTGGTGTCTTTATGGAACACACATTAAACATACAAAGTGATAGTAGATAATGAAATGGCATCACCAGGCTTCTGATGTCACTAAACATCAACTGGAATTAGGTGCTATCAAACCTAGAGTCCAGTCAATGAAACAAAAATGGAGGTAGGAGGTAAGGTTTAGACTGACCTTGACTTATAAAAACGCTCAAACCGTGTCGGTGTGCTATTCACAAGCAGCATCAGCTGATGTGAGCCAGGTCTTGCAAAAAGAGATCTCAGAAGCCCTATGATTAAGAATTTTTGATTTGCATGTAGCTGCAAAGGGTTACAGAGTTGTCTCAAAGACTTTAGTTGTTCATTAGTCCATAGTAAAACGCCTTATCTATAAATGGAGACAATTTGGTACTGTCGCTATTCTCCACAGAAGTGAGTGCCCACCCAAGATCACTCCAAAGGCACAATGCAGAAAGCTCAATGATGTAAAAAATGAACCGTAAAGTGTGGTGGAGGGAGCATTATGTTTTGGGGCTGCTTCTGAACCTGGACCACTTGCCACTGTGGAGGGGCAATGAATTCCCCAGTTTATCCAGGCATCCTATAGGATAATATCAGGGTGACTGTCCACAAGTTGAAGCTCAGAACAAGCAGGGTGATGCAGCAAGACAGTGACCCTAAACACTGAAGGAAATCTACTACAGAATGGCTCAACGCAGTCCATCTTTTGGAGTGGTCCAGCTGGAGCCTAGACCTCAACCCATTGAAGATGAATGTTCTTGAGAGAGCCATTCACAATAGAGGTCCTAAGAATATGGCTGAGCTGAAGCAGCTCTGTAAGGAAGAATGGTCCAGAATAACTCCTGAAGGTTGTGCAGGTCTAATCCACAGCTACAGGAAGCGCTTTCTTGAGGTTATTGCTGCCAAAGTGGTTCAACCAGTTATTAAAACACATTTTCCATGACTTTTTCTACTATTACTTTGTATATTTAATGGATGTGCTCAATAAAGACATGAATGATCACAACTGTGTTTATCAGCTTAGAAATAGTTTGATATTTGTGACTTTGGTGAATATCAGAACGCATTTCATGACCAATTTATGCAGAAAACCAGGAAATTGCAAACACCGTCATTACTTTCTCTTGCAGCTGAAAATTTAGTAGGCCTTTGTGTAAACATGATGGTGAAATGTATACGTGGAATAATTTGAAGCAGGGTTGTTTTACATGTCATTTAATATTTTGCTTAGGTTACTGCTATATTTTAAATCTTCCAAAGTGTTGTCAGTGGTAATAACAAAAAGCTGATTATGCTCCTTCTGGATGCCTAATGACCCCCTGGTCAATCCCCAGGCCAGAAGTAAGATGTGGATATCATTGCTTTTTCTGTCCTAGACCCACATCTTTGGAATAATCTACTGGCGGAGGCAATAGAGCTTCAGACACAGTAGTGTGGTTCCTCATTATTGTTTGACTTGAGACAGTATAAGGAATGAAATGCTTATTGGTTCCATGCTGTGGGGAGTAATGGTAGAAGTGTGACAGTTGTTGCTGTATTGTTACATTGCTGAATGTGATTTCTTTTCAGGGCACAGGCACCATTCAGAAAGGTATGCCTCATAAGTGCTACCATGGCAAAACAGGGCGTGTCTACAATGTTACCCAGCATGCAGTTGGCATTATTGTCAACAAGCAGGTCAAGTAAGTAGGATTTGTACACCTATTAATTTTAAGATGCACACAATCTAAATTATATAGCATCTAATATTTAGCAACTTCTCAGTTGTCTAGCCTGTTCATGCATGTGGTCATCACAATAAAAACTACACATGGTTGATAATAGAAAAACCTGAATAAATGAGTGGAAATAAAACATGCAGGGGCCACTGATTAATCTGATTATGCTCTTGATTATTTGATTTATCTTTTTATTCCGTGTCAAAAATGGGAAAATGCCCATTTTGACTTTCTAGAGTCCAAGGTGATGTCTTCAAATGCTTTTTGTCGCACCAACAAACCCAAAGACCCAAAGTTTATTATCATGTTTTACATGATAGGAAACAATCAGTTTCTCACATTAAACAAGTAGGAACCAGAAAATGTTGGTAATTTTACCTTCAAAAATAGTTGCTGCTTAATCTTCTATCAGTGAACTGACTGGCTGGTTGCAGCTGTAGTGCATTGAGTGGAAAAGGCGTGTTGAACACCAGTGAGGTGTATGTTTTGGAAGAATGTTTCCACCCTCCATCAGAGGAGAACTGAAGCTGCTCTGGAGACTACTAAAAAGTCTGTTCACTTTGTTAGGTTTTCCTTTCATTTGTCACCCATCTGTAGCTTGTACATTTGCTCGAGTGTTGGCTATTTTAAGACTTGAGTGTTGGATTAAAAAGTGCACATTAGCAATTCTTGAGGTGATCCTTCCTATCATCTTGAAGTTTTCTTTAACTTCTTGAAATTCTGTGTTCATATAGTGGTGTGTGAATTTGTTTGTACACTTCCATCTAAAAGGAAGTGACCCCATCCTCACTTTGCCACCAGGATTCCTTGTGTCCTCAGTGGTCATTCATATGGGGGAAAATATTTTGTCCTTAAGCACGCCAGTCAGACTCAAGTTTGACCTGGGGTTGCATTGAGGAGACAGAAAGGTGCATACATTAGTTTAAATTTAGAGCTGAAGCGATCTGGCAAGTTGCTCTCTAGATTTTGTGTTGGATATGAACACTCTGTGCTGTCTGCTCACACAGGGGCAAGATCCTGGCCAAGAGGATCAACGTACGGATTGAGCACGTGAAGCACTCAAAGAGTAGGGACAGTTTCCTCAAGCGCGTCAGAGAGAACGAGAGCAAGAAGCTGGAGGCCAAGCAGAAAAGCAGCTGGGTGGAACTGAAACGCCAGGTACGAGCTGACTCAGTGATTTTTATTCTGGGTAACTTGTGACATATAAACATTCAACTGTGAGAAATTAGTTGATTGCAGAGATCTTACAAATTTTACCCAGACACCTCTTGTGCTCATTAAATTATAGTTTTAATAGTTTTAAATTATTTGAACAACATTTAATGATATTTTAAATGGGAAAACAAACTGTTATAGAATGTTGTAAATTATCTTAGTGTGGTAATTTACAGTAAACAAGAAGCAAAATGGCATGATTTCATATTTAATTGACTTTTTTTGGAATTACTGTTGTTCATTCACTTAAACTTTCTTCTCTTCTCTGCAGCCAGCTCCTCCCCGCGAGGCTCACTTCGTCAGCACCAAGAAAAACGAGCCGCAGCTGCTGGAGCCCATTCCTTATGAGTTTATGGCATAAAATGTTGGCCAAAATAAAAAACATTGTTCACATGTTGCTTGTCATGTTTGTTCACACACCCATGAGCTGTTGCTCAGTCATCTCCTATTTTCCTTATGTTTAAAATAGAAAAAAACTATTATCTGGAAAATGACCTGGGACACGACAGGCTCTTTTCAGTTTTTCAAATCATTATCCATGGGGCAATTATTACAAATTATTGCATTAAAAAAAAAAACACAATATTGTTCATTGAGTTGTCCACAAATGCCACATATCAGCTTGAATTTGGGAGGAATGTCTATTAACTGATGCAAAAGATCCCTATCTTTAAGTCTTACTGAGTGGTGCAGTCTTTAAAAAAAAGGGATTTTGGGGATGAGTTTAATGTCAAAACTTCACCCAAGAGCTGATACAAGTGGATGCAGAGGTTCTCTCCTGTCAGGCGGTGGAGTAAGGATTTCTTTCCCAATTCTAAAACTACTGTACTTGGAAGGGAAATTAAAGGAACCTGGATGTTTAGAGGTTAGCTGTATTTGTAATGAGGACATATACTGTACATGTGTGGGGGTGTAACACTGGTGTAGGTTCTGTGTTAGTGCAGCAGGAGGCAGTGTGCACCTCAATATGGGCTGAGCCTAAACTTTTTCCTCTGCTATAAGACTATAAAACAGCATTTCATTTAATTGATAGACTTGATATCAATAATTGCCATTAATTGTTCTACTTATTGGTTATTAGTGTAACCACATTATCTGACAGGTTAAAATTTCATGTTTTTTGGTGTTAATCATTAACATGGACCATGATTTAGCAGAGCCTTTAAACTCTCCTAACTTACCCACCATGAACATTTTTCACGGTCATGATTTTGATTTTCCTGACCCATCACAACACAAATAGCCTTTTGTTCTCACAACAGGACTTTGGGCTTTCATACTCCCAAGTAAACTAAAAAAAATAACTGATTTGGGTGCTTGCTGGAGGGGTTTAAACATAAAAGACTATCAATCAAAATGAGTGGGTGAATATCAGCTGGTCATGCTTTAAATTCTTTACATCAGATAACAATGATAATATAGTAATTTAATTTACATGGTACTTTATAAGAGAGGAGCCGGTGCTAGTGCTTTCAAGTGCATTACCTGTCATGTTTCAGCACTATGTATGTGTGTGTACCACTTGATGTGTGCTGTTGAATCAGTGGAGGTTGAATGGCTGGTTGGCTCTGTGACAAATAGGTTATCTCGTCCCACCTCAGTACTTTGCCAATATTTACACGAATTAAGACCAGTTTACAGAGACAGGGCTAGCAGTTGACAGGATGAAGTGGGGTGGGCAACAACAAACAGTCCAAGAATTACATGTCATTGTTGCAGGTGCCTCACCTGCATTTTCTTGAAAGAGAAAAGTTGAGGACGGAATCAGGTATCATAATCTAAGACCAGACAATGTTGGCACCCTCCAGATATAAACCTGCCGAACCCTGCAGGCCTGAAATCAGGAAATTCAGACACAGGTCTTATCAGAACAAAGTAATAAGTATCCACCAACCTGAAGAGATAAAAACAGGGGAAAAAGATGTTGAAATGAAATGCAATCAATCAGTGAATGGGTTGGCAGCCAAAGCCCTTGGTATTGATCAGCAAGGTCTAGATTTTTCTAGGAGTATTAAGATAAGGGAACTGGTGCATGTATGTTTGTGTACATTCTCAAAATCTGAACATTATTAACTGAA